TTGTCCGGGGTGACATTGGAGGTGGGTTTGGAATCCGTGCCATCTGCCTCCATCTGTTTCCAGGGCTCCAGGCTGCTCCAGGAAAGCTCAGTTCCTTGTCTGGGGTGATATTGGAGGTGGGTTTGGAATCTGTACCATCTGCCTCCATCTCTTTCCGGGGCTCCAGGCTGCTCCCTCAGCGTGGGGCTCTGAGGTGGTTGACCAGAGGTGATGGTGGCATCATCTTACCTTCTTCTTTTTTCTCTTTTGCCATGTTCTGGCGCATGCTGTGTCCTCTCTCTCTGGGCCCAGTGTGTTGCGGACTTGAGAAGGTCTTAATCCCCGCTCCCCAGACTCCATCGAGCAGCATCAGCTGCCTTTGCCAGCGTCCCGTGTAGTTGGGCACCTCTGGAAAGACCACAGAGATCAGGGGGTCATAGGTTTAGAAGTGGAAGGGACCTCCATGGCTGTCCGGTCCAAGATCCGACTTTACAGGGGGGAGACTGAGGGCCAGAGAGGAAGTGATTTGCCCAGGATCACAGAACTACTAAGGTTGGACTTGATTCCAGGTCTTTTTGACTCCAAATCCTGTGCTCTAGCCACTACCCCATACTGCCGTCCTCTTTTCCTTTTGTCTTCATTATTTCCCAACATCTGGGTCTTTTCCAGCGAGTTCCAGAGGAGGAAAATAAAGCTGAGAGAGGCGGCATGATTTGGCCAAGGCTGCCAAGACAAGAGCGCCACCCCCAGCCTCCTCCACGCCGCCGTCCCGCGTCGCCTGCCTCCCCTAGGCCAGCATCGGCTCCCTTCCAGGGCAGCCTAATGGACTGAGCAAGGCTGCCGGGAGAAGGAGAGGAAGGCATCACTCATTTTCAGGAGAGCAGAGAATGCAGTTTAATCAATTCCCCCTCTTACTAAGACGGCTTCTTGGAAATTATATTTGGATTGACTTGGCAGTTTCTCTGAGATGCCTACATTGCATTCAGTGCCGATGAAAGCATTTCTGTTTGGGATGGGTGTTTACTGTGGGGTGGGGGCTGGGGAAGGGCCAGTCTCACAGGTTTATTCTCAGTCTACAAAAAAGGCCTTTGACATACAGGCTGAAGGTCAGGTCCTTGTGCACATCCTCAACAAACAGAACTCGAAGACACAAGTGTCTTTCCCACTCCCCCTCCCCCCATCCAAGTACCCCTGTCCTTTAGATCATCGAACTACAGCTGAATGACACCTCAGACACCACGGAGTCTCATCATTTCAGAGACCAGGAAACTGAGGCTCAGGGAGATTAAATGATTTGTCCAGGGTAACACAGATAATGTCTGAGGAAGGCTTCGAACTCATGTCATCCTGACTCCAAGTCCAGTGCTCTACCCACTGCAGCAAGATGTTGACCTCTCAGGTTCCTTCTAGTTCTGAATCTATGCTTCTAAAATTTTAGCATGGGATCATAAAGGGAAATTTGGGGATTTCCTGGGTTTAAATCCACTCCTGATACTTACTAAGTGGCCTTGGGCAAGTCATAACCCTCACAGTTTCTTCATCCATAAGGAGGGAGTTGGACCAGACGGCTTTTGAGGTTTCTTCCAAATTTGGATCCTGGACCGTTTTTTGGAGATTTTGGAGGCCACGATGGAGAATGTATTTTGCTATGCATTTTAAATCTGGTGGCATAGATAAGGACCCCATGACTTCTGAGGATATTCCTTGGCCGTCTGCCTATATACCCGAACACCTGAAAACTGGAAGAAAAGGAGAAAGGGCAAGTAAATTATAGTGAGAATAAATAAAGGAAAAGAAAGTGGGAGAATGAAGACCAGAGGGGCTGAATGGATGCAAGAAGAAGCATGGAGTGAGGAGGAAAAAGGTAGGAGAGAGGAACAGACTATGGGATCACAGAATTTTAGAGCTAAACTAAAAGGCTTATTTTACAGATGAAGAAACTGAGGCTTTTACTACGATCACATAGTTAAAAGCAGAACTGAAACCAGAAGCCAGGGGTCCTGACTCCCAGTGGGGAGGGTCTTTCCATTTCTCCGGTGCTGGTGAGAAGGAGAAGGAGAAGCAGAAGGAAGGAAATGCTGAGAGGTGGGAACAGGGCATTTTTTCCCCAGTCATTCTGAGAGCCCATGGTATTAGAAACTCCGAAGGAAAAGAGGGGGAGAATGTGACCGGCTGGGGGTCAGAGGCAAATGCAATTTACCCCAAGGACAGTGATTCATTCTAAGTTACAGTGAAAGGCTTGGTGGCATCAGATCACTGTTTCCTGCCCTGCCGGTTGGGTGTATGGGAAGATTGTGTCAGATATTGAAAGGGATCGAATGGGGATTTTGTGGTGGTCTTAACTGTAGGAACAGATGTGATCTGGGATTGCTATCTTTTTTATTATACCGGCTTTTGTATTCTCCCTAAGAGAAAATAAGCCCTCTGAGGCCAGGACTGTCACACTTCTGTATTTGCCACCGTCCCTCGTGGGTGCTTCCTAAGTCTTGGTCCATCAAAAGGATCTTAGATCCAGAGCTGGAGGGACCCTGGGGAATGTCCTGTCTAGCCCCCTCTGATTTTATAGATGAGGAGCTGAGGTCAGCAGAGGGGCAGCGACGTGCTCAGTAAGTATCAACAGTGCAGTGAGAGGTACACCTAGAGGTTTTGGGGTGCTTGGATGGGATTTGAACTCAGCTCCTTGGACACCAGATGCAGTACTCTTTCCTTATGATTTGCAGAGATGTGGTGTTGACGAGAGACCGCTTGATTTTGAGTTAGAGGGCATGAGTTCAGATCCCACCTTGGCCACTCGGGCAAGTCACTTGAGCTCACGGGGCCTCAGTTGCCTCCTTTGTAAAATGAAGGTCTTTGACATCCGCTCCAGCTTTAATTCCTGTGATTCTCCTGAGCCCAAGAAGTATCTTTGGCTGTGCACCATGAAATGTAGGAGAGAGAAGAGGTATTAGGAAGGAGGTAGGGGAATTCACGCTCTCTATCTCCTCTTTCAAAGCATTAGAGAAGAGACCTGGACGTCTGTCCCAGGCGGCATCTCAGAGAGCTAAGCAGAGGATGTCAGTCAGTGTCTTAACTTGAAAGGGATTTCCGTCCCTAGCTGGACCACACTTGCTCTTTTTCTCATAGTTGGAGACGGCCACCTTGCAAACAGTTTCCTCCTTGCAATATTTCTTCCTTCTCCTTCAGATCCATTGTCGGTGGGCTGTGCCGCTAGGCATGCAGCAAGCTGAGTTCTGGGGCGTGCTGACTCCATGGGAGGGGGGAGTCGGAGGAGCTGGGTTCATATCTCGGCTCTGATACTTCCTGTGTGCTTTTGGACTTCTGCCTCAGTTTCTTCAGCTGTAAAATGTGGTGGTTGGACTAGATGGCCAAAGAGGACCCTTTCTTCTTTGAATCTGTGATCCTGAGTCACTTCTCTCTGGTTCTCAGTTTCCTTATTTGCAAAATGCTGAGGTTCAGCCAGGTGGGCTCTGAGGTCCCTTCTAGTCGAGGGACCCTTCGGCCACTTCAGCTTCTCCCTTTCGGATTTCCTGAAACCCGCGTCCTAAAGTTTGCCTTCTCCCCTCAGAAAACGAGTCTGGGAAAAAGTCTGGAGTGCTCTCCGAGAACATTAGGAGGCAGAATCATTTCCCCGCGGGCACCTACCTTTTTAGACATCTGCCAAATGTCTGCAGATGTTATTTACTGAGAGGAGGGACATCTCACTCAGAGCGTGGTGCTGGCTGCTCTCCTCAGAGCTTGGCTTAAAGTGGTTTCAGCTACCCTCAGTAAGCTGCTTCAGGGGAAGGTGGGAATCCCTGTTTCCTTTGTCCTTCTTCATCCCCAGGCTCCCCACCCTCAACTGACCCTCTGCTGGATGCTATCCACTGGGGCTGGTTTCACAAAGGTCTTAACCTGGGTATCACATTGGAGAGCTACAAAAAGGTGCCCCTTTCCAAAGACCAAAGAATCCTAGAACTAACTTGGTCTTGAAGTGGTCTTAGAAACCATCTACTCCCACCTCCTGATGTTACAGATGAAGAAACTGAGGCCCAGAGAGTAACACAAGTAGTAAGAGTCAGAGTTGAGTGATTCCTTTCCTGGGATCAGTGCTGACCCTCAAACCTCACACTGCATTTTCCACCTTCTTAGTAGATGCTTTTAAGCCAGTGGCTCTAACAGAGGAGCCTGGCTTGAAGCAATGGACCCCCATGGAGAAGAGAAGAAGAAAAGGGGCAGGAACTCAGACACAGTGGTCTCTAAATTCCCTTTCCGATCCTCACAACCCAGCAGGATAACCCTGGGTTTGGAGCTCAATTTGGACCCTGGCTGTGTACTCCTGGGCACATCTGGGCTTCAGCGTCCTCACCTGCAAGAGGATGGATTAGGTGCTGTCTAAAGTTCCTTACATCTTTAAGTCTGATCTTGTGATGTTTGGGTCCCTGAAAAATGTTGGGAAATGCTCCTTTTCATGTCCTCCTAGTCTATAAGAAGGGCCGATGGAGAGGGACCGAGGGGCATCACAGACTGGCTCTGCCCTAAAGATATACAGCTTTGATTTTCTTTTAGAGAGAGATCAATGTTCTCTAGGCAAGGCATGTGAGAGCTCTCCCACATGACATGGCTGGCCATTCATCTCTCGATGAAGACGCTGCCAGATTTGCTTATATAAGCCCCGGGGAGCCCACACATGGGATTTTGTGCAGACGAACAGATTCTGAAAGTCTTGGCCAAGGGTGAGTTTGCAGGAGTGAGCCTGGAAATGACTGGCTTTGCATAAACACCGGGCTGGGCCAGGAAAACATATTCCTACCTGAGGCTGGTGAAAACCATTGTCATCTCTGCCTCAGCCCACAAAAGCTTCATTCCTTTGGCGTCGTTTCCTTTAGGTTCTGAGTGCCGGGGAGGAAGAAGGAAATGTTCTGTGCAGCTAACTCACCAAAAAGAGGTGGGGGAAGGGGAAGCCGTGGGGAGAATGAGTGAAGGGAGAAGGGATCCTCGGCTCGTGGGGACTAGAAAGATTTGTCTCCTGCCAAATGGGAGATGAGTCATCCCTACCCAGGCATCACTGGGGTACTCCATTAGGGAGGACAGGAGACAGGCAAAAGGGGCAAGAAGCCAGGAGACTTTGGCGGTTGTTGGATCGATGGTGAGAATGGAGATGAGAAAAGAAGAAGACCTTCTTCCCAGTCAGGAGCGGAAGGCCCCTAGCTTAACTCATTCATTTTACAGATGAGGAAACAGAGAGATCAAGCGACTTCCTCAAAGTCACACAGGTAGTAAATATCAGAAGCAGGATTTAAATCTAGGTCACCTGACTTCAGCAGCTAGGTGGCACCACCATATTGCATAGAGTGCAATATGGAGTCAGCAAGACCTGAGTTCAAATCTGACCCCAGACACTTACTAGCTGTGTGACCTTGGGCAAGTCACTTAGCCCTATTTGCCCCAGTTCCCTCATCTGTAAAATGAGCTGGAGAAGGAAAAAGGTGAACCACTCTAGTGTCTTTGCCAAGAAAACCCCAAATGGGGTCACAAAGAATCAGACACAACTGAAAAATGACTAAACAGCAACAAACATCTGACTTCAAGGTCATCACACAGCTAGGTGGTGCAGAGGATAGAAACTGTGTAACCCTGGGCAAGTCACTTAGCCTCAGTTTCCTCATCTGTAAAATGGGGATAATAGCAGCACCTGCTTTCCAGGGTTGTTGTGAGGATGAAATGAGATAATATTTGTAAAGCTCTTAGCACAGGGCCTGGCACATAGTAAGCTCTGTGTACGTTAGCTGTTGTCTTTCCAGTCTAAATGAAAAACAAAACACATTTATTAAATTCTAGCTATGTGCCAAGCATGCTGCTAAGTGCTGGGGTTACAAATAGAAAAAGTGAGGCAGTTCCCATTCTCCAGGGTCTCACCTATAATAGGAGGAGATGACACAGATAAGAGTCCAAGCTGCCTGGAGAGCCCCGGAAGTCTGGATGATGCAGTAGAGGGCAGATGGCAAGGCCTGGGCTGGAGGGCACATCCACAGGGCAGACGGCAAGACCTGGTGGTCTTCCATTCCACTGATTATACTCGATGACTCCTAGCTCATCCAAGTGGTATAAATCACCACCATCTTCTTCCCACCTTGCTGCCTTGAATGGCCTTTGGGTGTCTAGGCAGAGAGGAAGGGGTGGAAGGAGGCCATTCCCTAGTGGTGGTGATTTTCCTGGGCTGGCTTCTTAATCTTCCCCTCTTGAAGGCATGGGTAGGAATTTGCTCACTGCAAGTCAAAGGCTTTTGAGCAAATAATGCCTCATGCCTCAGCTAATGAGAGACAGCTTGGAGTAGTGGACAGAGCTCTGTTCTTAGTCTGGAGGCTTGGGTCCAAGCTGAGGTCCTGATACTTAACTAGCTGCGACCTCAACATTTCAGCTCTCTGAGCCTTAGTTTCCTCATCTATGAAATGGGGGTGATAATATAATGTACATGCTACCCCCAAAGCTTAAAACCTCACTAAGACTTTTGGGATGCCCTAATTTGTGGAGTGTTTTGCAAGCCTCAAATCATGCATTACATACGTAAGAGTCATTTTTCTGTGCACCACTTATCTATCTCATGGGGTTATTTTGAGGAAAGTGTTATAGGAATGGGAGAGAAGGTGGGAAAGTCCCAGAAAAAAAAGAGTTCCTTATTTAGAAAAAGAAAAAAAAAAGACCTTCTTTCAGGATCCCCCCTAGAGAGTGAACAGGCAAATAGGTAGTTTGCCCTCCAGTTGGCAGTGAGAACCGCAGAGAACAGAGGAGCTCAGTTTCAGTAAGGATGGTGGGTGAGGGGAACGTGCCAGTGACCCGCAGGGATCTTGCCATATTTGTGCTGTTTCTGGTGCCAAGAAACAGCTCTCGCGGCCTCTCTAGCCTCGTTCACATGACTCTTTGGCACTCATTGATGGATGAGGCACAGAATGAAGGTTGCTCTTCTTGCTAGAGGAGGAGGTCAAAGGACTGCAGGGAAGGTTTCTTTTCTCTTATTTTTTCCCCATGAAGTCATTTTGATTAAAATAACAAATGTTGTAAGAGGAATCTGACTACTAAGAAAATTCCTTCAAAATACGTGAGCCATTGACTCCTCAATAATCGTCAAGGGATAGGAACAAAGTTTTCTTTTTTTTAAAATTAAAATAGTTTTTCAACTAAGCAGCTTTTCTTTTCTTTCTTTCCTATCTTATTCCCCTCAGGGAAAGAAATAAAAGGGAAATAAAACCTTTATTACAAATATGCATAGTTGAACAAAACAAGTTCCCACATTGGCCATGTCCAAAAATGCTTGTCTCATTTGACATTTTGGGTTGGTCACCTCCCTCCCAGGAGATGGGTAACATGCTTCATCAGTGGTCCTCTGGAATCATGGTTGGTCACTGCACTGATCAGAATTCTTATGACTTACAGAGTTGTGCATTTTTTGCAATAGTGTTATTGTAGGAATTGTCATTCTGGGTCTGCTTGCTTTATTCTGTATTAGTTCATACAAATCTTCCCAGGTTTCTTCTTTTCATCATTTCCTAGGGCACAGTAGTAATCTGTTACATTTATTTACAATAATTCCATTCCCCAAGTGATGGATATCACTATCTCCCTTAGTTTCTAGTTCTTTACTACCACAAAAGATACTTTTATATATTGCTTTCCTCTTTCTTTGATTTCTTTGAAAGTATATGCCTGGTTGTGATATCAGTGGTTCAAAGGGTATGCCCAATTTAATGATAATTTGGGCATAGTTCCAAATTACTTTCCAGAATGGCCAGACCAATTCACAGCTCTACCAACAATGTGTGGGTGTACCAGCATTAGTTTTCTCCAAAGCCCCTCTTGTGTTTTTCATTTTTCTTTTTTTTGGTCAGCTTTCCCAGTCTGTGGTTTTTTTATTTTTTTATTGTGGCTAGGCAATGGGGTTAAGTGACTTGCCTAGGGTCACACAGACAGTAAGTGTCAAGTGTCTGAGGCCGGATTTGAACTCAGATCCCGCTGACTGCAGGGCCGGTGCTCTATCTACTGTGCCATCTAGCTGCCCCCAGCTTTCCCAGTCTGGTGGGTATGAAGTAGAACCTCAGAGTTGCTTTATTTTACATTTCTCTAATTATTAATGATATGGCTATTGTTAGCTTATATTTCTTATTCAGAAAACTGCCTGATGATATTCTTTGACTATATACTAATTGGGGAATGTCTTTTATTCTTATAAATTTAAATCAGTTTCTTACATATCTTGGAAATTAGAGAAATTTGCTGCAGAGATTTCTCTCAATTATCTGTTTCCCTTCTGCTTTCCTATTTTCTGGCTCCTAAGGGAGAATGAAGAGTTTCTTTGAAAAAGGGGAGAGGAAATTCAAGAAGCAGCCAGGCGTAAAGCATTGGTCTTGGAGTCAGGAAGACTTGAGTTCAAACCCAGCCTCACACACGTATTAGTTGTGCCATTCTGGGCAAGTCACTTAACCCTATTTGCTTTAATCCATTGGGGAAGGAAATGGCAACCCACTCCAGTATCTTTGCTAAGAAAACCCCATGGACAGTATGGTCCATGGGGTCATGAAGAGTTGGATACAACTGAAAGACTGAACAATAACTTCTAAAGGAAAAAAAAATCCAACGAGGTACAGGGTGGAAAAATGAGATCCAGAGAAGGAACAGAAGCAACCACATTTACCAGTGGCACTTTGTAAGAGACCAGATCTTCCAATCAAGAAGAACGCTGGACACTCTCCAGCGGAAGTAGCGCTCCCTCTCTGGTCTGGATACAACCAAGAGATCAGTAAACTGAAAACAGGCTAATGTCCCTTTCTACAATGGTGAACACAAGGCAGAAGGAAGACCCAGTCATACAGGTGCTGATGTCAGGAGCTCCCAGCACAGTGGACGGGCAGAGACAGTTTGCTTCCCCCTCCCAATTTTGACTTTCAAAGTGGAAAAGGAGGGACCAGAGGGTTCTAGATTTAGAACTAGAAGGAGGTTAGAGGCCATCTAAGAGATGGTCATGCACCCTCCCTTTTAGATCTCCCCCCAACTCTCCGGTAAGTCATAGGAAGAAGACCGTCGGTCCCCAAGCCCAGGAAAACAATATCCAGGCAGAGGAGGGACAGTACCCATGTCTATGCACACATGCTCAGAGTGGACTTAATCTTTATTAATAGAGCTATTGATGCAAGGAGATACGTTTGACCTCCTGGGGATCCCTGGAACATGTCAGGATGTGATTCATCACTGGAATATGGCAATGGAAGGAGACGCCATATTCAGAAGGGATGGGTTAGCTGGGAGAGATTGCTGGATTACAGGATCAGAGATGGGTGATAAGGGACCTCAGAGGTCGTCCAGCTCTCCCCTTATTTTACAGGTGAAGCAACTGAGCCTTAGGGAGGTAAAAGAATTTGCCCACAGTTACACAGATAATATGCATCAGAGGGATAGTTGGAATCCAGGCAGTGGAGCAGCACTTTTTATATCCAGCCTTAGCCACTTACTAGCTGTGTGGCCCTGGGCAATCACTTAACCTTTGTCTGCCTCAGTTTCCTCACCTAGAAAAAGGGGATAATAATAGCACCTACCTCCTGGAGTTGTCATGAGGATCAAACGAGATAATATTTGTAAAGCACTTAGCACAATGCCTGGCACATCGTAGGTACCATATAAATGTTAACTATTATTGGCTATTATCACAGAACTATATTCTGATGAATAAATGAAAATATGAAAAAAGAATGAATAAATCAATGAAAAAGTATTTATTAAGTGGGCCCAGCACCTTGAGAAGTGCTGGCATTATAAATACAAAAGCAAATACAGTCCTTGCCCTCAAAGAGCTTTATGTTCTAGTAGGGGAAGACAAGGCCTAGAGCATAATGGTGGCCAAGGAGGATTATTTTATTTTGGAAAGTCATAGGAATTGTGAGTGTAGCCTTAGTGCAGTGGATTCGCCACCTTTTCCAGCAGCAATGGCAGTATTGATTTGATGCTGGTTCCAGAACTGGAAGCTGGAGAGAGTAGCAGAGGGGGTGTGGGTGGAAGCAGGATAGCTGGTGAGAAGAGAGCAACCTGGGAATGGTGGGCCATGGGACACACTCACCAGCTGGGGTCTAGAGCAGGTGTGCGCTGGGAAATGCTTCATAACTGGCTTACCAGTAAAAAAAAATGTACTCATGCAAAACTTTTTAAGTTTAATCTGAATGATTAACATTTCATCCATCACTTTCTTAAGTCTAGAATGCTGATGGACAAAATGATGGGTCAAGCCTTGGTTTGTAGCATTCACACAAAAATTGGGCTCTGGGGAGCTGACTCCAGCACAGCCTGGAGTGGGGGACCCAGGAGACTTGGAGCTGCAAAAACTAAGTCCTCCAAGACATGGCCTCTGGCCTCAGTGACAAGGGGACTAGTGAGAAGATAGACAAGCAGGAGAGCGAAGAGATTTGTGAACCAGAGAGAGAGAACACTTCATTGAGAATCTATGGAGAGATAAATAGAAACAGTACTGGGACAGGAGCAGGTAACTTAGACTAGATGGTTTCTGATCCTTCCTCCTCAGAAATTTTGTGATTCTGTGAGTATATCATACACCACCCTGCCAGAAAAAAGAAATGGATAAAAACTTCCAGGAGGACATCACAAATTCAGCCTGGAGGCAGGGCCTAGTAAAGATGGCAGGCTGGCTGTGTGGACATCTATTGATGACAATTTCATCTTTCAGAATTCAGAGGAAGTAGGGGGCCATCCTCACTGATTTCAAGTTGCTAACTCTGACAGACTCTATCCCAGGGCACAGAAAGGACTTTTGGGTATGATTTCTGAGTCATAGGAGTGACTTTTGAAAAACTGTGAAAAACAGGAAAAGTGCCACTGAGCGACTCCAGTTTTTGAAAAGGGGAAGCAGACAAATTCTTGCAACCTTATGCTGGAAAGCCTGACTCCAATTCCTGGAAAGAATTTGAAAACATATTTTTATATACAGTTGTCTACAAGTACTTAGAAAAAGGAAGT